ATCCATCCATCCATCTATCTATCCATCTGTACATCCACCCATCCATCCAATTGTCTAATCATCTGTCCATCACCTATATTGTGTTTATCTGTCTATCTATCCATCCATCCATGCAGCCTTCCAATCAACTATTTATCTGTCGGTCTATCTATCTGTTTACCCATACATCCATTTGTCCAATCAACTATGTACCTGTCTACCCAATCAACTATCCACATATCTAATCTAATCTTACCCATCTATCTATCCATCCAAATGTCTAATCATCTGTCCATTATCAATAGTGTATCTAACTATCCATGCAGCTTTCCGTTCAATTATTTATCTATCTACCTAATTGTCTGTCTATCTATTTATCTATTTTTATTTATTTACTAGCAGTACCCGCCACGCTTTGCTGTGGCCAACCTTCCCTCCCTCTTTCTCTCCTTTTCTCTCTCTCTCCTTCCTTCCCTCTTTTTATTTCTTCTTTCATCCTTCCCTACCTGTTTCTTTTCTCGCTTCCTTTGCTCTTTGGTTCCATCCTTGTCTCTTTCCTTCCTTCCTTCCTTCCTTCCTTCCTTCCTTCCTTCCCTCTTTCTCTCTTTCATTCCTTCTCTCCTTCCTTCCCTCTTTCACTTATTTCATTCCCTCCCTCCTTCTCTCCTTCCTTCCTTCTTTACCCTTCTTTTTTCCTTCTTACTCTCCTTCCCTCCTCCTTTCCCCCTTTCTCTCCCTCCTTCTCTCCATTTCTTCTCTACCTTTCTTTCTTTCCTTCTCTCCTTCCCTCCTTCTTTCCCTCTTTCTCTCCTTCCTTCCTTCTCTACCCTTCTTTCTTTCCTTCTTTATCTTCTTCCCTCCTTTCCCCCCTTCCTTCTCTCCTTCCCTCTTTCTCTCCCTCCTTCTCTCCTTCCTTCGTGCTCTGCCCTTCTTTTTTTCCTTCCTTTCCTTTCCTCCTTCTTTCCCTTCTTCTCCCTGTCCTTCTCTCCTTCCTTCCTTCCGTCCTTCTTTCCTTCCTTCAGTCCTTCCTTCTTTCCTTCCTTCCTTCCTTCTCTACCCTTTTTTCTTTCCTTCCTTCTCTTCTTCTCTCCCTCCTTCTCTCCCTCCTTCTCTCCTTCCTTCCTCCTTTCTGTGTCTGTGTTTTGTGTGTGTATATGTGTGTATATATATGTGTGTTTGTGTATATATATGTGGTTTTGTGTGTGTGTTGTAATGTATTTTTTGTTTTTTTTGGCTTTTTAAGTCCCTTCTGTTGTGTTTTTTCAGTGTTTTTATGAGTGATGGTCACTTGTTGGCGTGATAGGCGTATTGTATCCACATTTGGTGTCAATTCGTCCAGTGGTTTTTGAGTTCTGTTAATCCCACAAACAAACATTACATTTTTATTTATATAGATTTATTTATATCCTATATTTATACCCCACCCTTCTCCCCCCAAAGGGGGACTCTGGCGACCTAACAAAAGCATCATACGACGCTAGCATCATAAAAACAGCTACAGTACAATCAAAATATTAACAATTAAAACAAGTAATTAAGACACATCCATTAAAATTGAAATCCAAAAATCCGGGTCAATTCATTGCCGTAAGTTGTGTGATCTTCTTCCACTTGCTGCTCACTGATCAAACGCTTGATCCCATCACCAGGTCTTGATTTTCCTTCTAAAAGACAAGAGGGAGGTGGCCAATCTGATATCTCGAGGGAGGGCGTTCCATAGGCGGGGGGCCACTGATGAGAAGGCCCTGTCTCTCGTCCCCATCAACCGTGTTTGCGATAGTGGTGGGATCGAGAGCAGGGCCTCTCCTGAAGATCTTAAACTTCATGATGGTTCGTGGCAGGAGATATGTTCGGACAGGTAATCTGGGCCAGAATTGTTTATGGCTTTAAAGGTTATCTACCTACCTACCTACCTACTCAACCATCCATTTTCCCACCCATCCCTTTGTCCAATCAACAGTATATCTGTCTACCCAGTCAACTATCTACATATCTCATCATCTGTCCACCCATCCATCTATCCAATTGTCTAATAATCTGTCCTTCCATCTATAGTGTGTCTATTTCTATCCATGCAACCTTCCAATCAATTGTATTGTCAGTTTCTTCTTCCTCCTCATCTTTCCTCCTCTGTCTTCCTCCTCATCCTCTTCTTCCTCTTCTACTTCTCCTTTCCTTCCTCCTCTTCTTTTTATTCTCTCTCTTCTTCCTTATTTCTTTTTCTCTTCGTCTTTTGCCTCTTCTTCTTCCTCTTTTACTTCTCCTTTCCTTCTTCTTCCTCTTCTTTTCTTCTCCTTATTCCTCCTTATTTCTCTTTCTTCTCTTCCTTTTCTTCCTCCTCCTCTTTATCCTCTTCTCCTTCTATTTTCTTTCTTCCTCATCTTTTTCTTTCCTTCTCTCTCTTCCTCCTCTTCCTCTTCTGCTTCTCCTTTCCTCTTTCCTTCTCCTCTTTTAATTTCCTTCTCTCTCTCTTCTGCCTCCTTTTCTTTCTCTTCTATTTCTCCTTTCTTTCTTCCTCCTCTTTTCCATATCTTCTCTCTCTTCCTCCTTCTCTTCTTCCTTGTCTACTTCTCTCCTTCTTTTCTTCTCTCTCTTCTTCCTTATTTCTGTTTCTCTTCCTCCTTCTCTTCTTCTTCCTCCTCTTCTTTTTCTTTTCTTCTCTCTCTTCTTCTTCCTCTTCTCCTTTCCTTCATCCTCTTCTTTTTTCTTTTCATATTTCTTTCTCCTCTTCTTTTTTCCTTCTCTCTTCCTCCTCCTCTTCCTCTTCCTCTTCTACTTATCCTTTCCTTCTTCTCTTCTTTTCCATACTTTCTCATTCTTCCTCTTCTACTTCTCCTTTCCTTCTTCTTTCTCCTCTTTCTTTTCTTCTCTCTCTCTTCTTCTTCTTCTTCTTTTCCTTTCCTTCTTCCTCTCCTTTCTCCTTCTTGCTCTCCTTTCATTGATCTCCAGTGTGTTTTAGGAAACGTCTTGTTTCTCAATTATTTTGGGTTTTTTCTCTTCTTCTTCTTCTTCCTTTTTTGGCGGCTGCTTGCTATTTGCAGCCTGTTCCTGTTTCCATGGAAACTTGGTGAAAATGTACCCCCCCCCTTTTTTTCCCCTGCTGCAAACTACAAGTCCCAGGGCCCCCATTGCATTGAGTCCTGGATCTTAAAGCTGTTCCAAACTGTGTTAACCTGATGTTGTGGACATATGGGTAGATGAGAGACTTGACTTTGATTTGTGAGCTAACTGGCTGGCCTTGCAAGGCTGTTGTTGTTGTTGTTGTTGTTGTTGTTGTTTTCCGACTGGTTGCTTCAAAGGTGTAAACACAGGAGCCATGTAAACAAAAGGGCTTTTGGGGGAAGGAGAGGGACGCCTCCGAAATGGCCAACGGAGACCCAAAAGGGACGCTCGTTCTTTTCGTTCATTCGGTGCCAGCCGGGACTTGGCACAACAGGGTCAGGATTGGCAAAGGAAGGGGATTGTGTTTCGTGTGTGACAAAGTGGCCCTTGTTGTCGTTGTTGTTGTTGTCATTGGGTGGAAAGGAGGGAAGGGAGGAAAATAGCATTGGAGGAGTCAACAAGGAGCAGAAGAAATTCCACAGGAAGGGGGGGGGATACCCCAAGGGTCATCTAGCCTGATCCCATTTCGTAAAGTACCACTAAAGCCCTCCCGGCAGATGCCCATCCAACCTCTGTTGAAAGATTTTCAAGCAAGGAGAGCTCACCGTCGTCGAAGGGACATCTAATCCATCCCCATGTAGGAAGGCACAATCGAAACCTTCCTGACAGATGGCCATCCAGCCATAGATATGATAGATCATACATTTATTATTATTCCACTTTTTATTGGTGTTGTCTTGTGGGCATTTGGCTAATACTGTTATTGCTTTTTTAATTATTATTAGGTAGACAGATAGGATTGAGATAAATGATAGATCAGAGAATCCTAGAGTTGGAAGAAATCCCTAAAGTTAGGCCATTCAATGCCTACAATCAAAGCCCTTCCAACAGATGGCCATCTAGCTATAGATATCATTGAGAGAGAGATGTGATAGATCTATCATAAATTCCCAAAGGACATCCAGCTCAACTCCTTTCTGCCATTGAGGAGGGCGCTATTTGATCACTCCTGACAAAGAGCCATCCAGACATAAATATGATTGGTGATATAGAATTCTAGAGTTGGAAGGAGACCCCAAAGGACATCCAGCCCAACCCCTTCTGCCATTGAGGAGAGCATCATCCGATCTCTCCTGACAGATGGCCATCTAGCCATGGATATGATTGAGAAGTATATGTGATAGATATATCATAGAATCCTAGAGTGGGAAGGGGACCCCGAAGGGCATCCAGCTCAACCCCCTTCTCCCATTGAGGAGGGCACCATCCAGTCCCTCCTGACAGAGAGCCATCCATACATAGATATGATAGATAGATAGATAGATAGATAGATAGATAGATAGATAGATAGAATTGAGAGATATTTATGTGATAGATATAGAATCCTAGAGTTGGAAGGGGACCCCAAAGACCATCCAGCCCAATCCCTTCTGCCATTGAAGAAGGCATCATCTGATCTCTCCCAACAGAGGGCCATCCAGCCAAATTGACTCAATAATAATAATCATAATAGATAGATTGATAGACAGACAGAAAGATAAATGTGATTGAGAGGTATATCAAACAATCCTAGAGTTGGAAGGGGACCCCAAAGACATCCAGCCCATCCCCTTCACCATTGAAGAGGTCACCATCCGATCCCTCCTGACAGAGAGCCATCCAGCCATATTGATTGAATAATAGATTGGTAGAGAGACTGATTGAATGCTAGAGAGATAGATAGATGTGATTGAGATATATGTGTGTGTGATAGATATATCTTAGAATTCTGGAGCTTGGAGGGGAACCCTAAGACCCATCCAGTCCACCCCCTTCTGCCATTGAGGAGGGCACCATCCAATCCCTCTTGACAGAGGGCCACCCGGCATGGTCCAGCCGCATTGTGACCCTTCCTTCCGTCCTTCTTTCCCGCAGTGGGTCCTGGCCTTCGAGATCTTCATCCCGCTGGTCCTCTTCTTCATCCTGCTGGGGCTGCGGCAGAAGAAGCCCACCATCTCCGTCAAGGAAGGTAAGCCCCGGAAGCCACATCGGGTGGCCTGTTTGGGGGACGCTGGGAGTTGTAGTCCCAGAAGGGCAAGAAACCCCCATGTGACACCCTTCTCCAGTAGAGGAAGCCTCGGAACAAGAGGAGCCGTCAACCCGCTCCAGGTTTTAGTCCGAACCGTAAGAATCCCAAATGCCAGCGGTGGAAACCTTGTCCCTATCTATACCTCCAGAACACTTTTGTTAAAAGTTCGGACAAAAACCAGGAACGAATCTGCTCTTTCTCTGGCATCCACTCCGGGTTTTATTCCAAACTTTGACAAAGAGAAATGCAAATTTAAACAGCTCTTCACTTTCTTTGTCTGTTTGGAGACTTGGATTATAATCCGGATCATCCCGTTGGGTTCGGTCCGCCTGTCATCACCACCTCATTTATGTCTCCGTGGCGCTTGATGCTTTTTGAGTTATACTTTGATTTTTTTATTATCTCTTGTGCATTAATTTTATTTGTCTTTTCTCCTCCCCATCCTTCTGTGCTTATTTTTTCCCTCCTTCTTTATCTTTTTCTTTCTTTCCCCAAACCAATCCTCATACTTTCCTTTTGCGTTCTCTACCATTTGTCTCCTGCAGTCTGTAAGTTTGCCTCGTTCTTTACTCTAGCAGAGCAGCATTATAACAAAAGTATTGTTCATACTACTACTATTATTAATAATAAAAGTATATTATAATGCAGTACAACCATATTATTATTGTTGTAATCATATTATATTATATTATATATCAGGTATGGGCAAACCCAGGGAGGCTGGATGCAGTCCCTTGGGCTCCTTTCTCAGGCCCTCCTCTCACCATCCTATCCTTCCTTCCTTCTCTCTTTCCTTCTTCCTTCCCTCCCTCTTTCTCCTTCCTTCCTTCTCTTCCTTCCGTCTTTCCTCCCTCCTTCCCTCTCTTTTTCCTTCTTTCCCTTTTGTCTTCCCTTCCTTCCTTCCATTCCTCTATTTCCTGCCTTCTCTCTTTCTTTCCTTCCCTCCTTCCCTTCCTTCCCTCCTTTGTTCTCCCTCCCTCCTTCCTTCCACCTTTTTGTCCTTCCTTCCCTCTCTTTCTCCTTCCTTCCTTCCTTCCCTCGCTTTTCTCTTCCCTCTCTCCCTTCCACCCTTACTACCTTCCATCCTTCTCATCCTCTCTTCGTTCCCTCTTTCCTTCCTCCTTTCCTCCTTCCCTTCCTTGCCTCCCTCATTCTCCCTCCTTCCTTCCCTTCCATCTTTTCGTCCTTCCTTTCCTCACTTTCTCCTTCCTTCCTTTCCTCTCTTTTGTCTTCTCTCGCTCCCTTCCACCCTTCCTTCCATTCTTCTCTTCCTCCCTTCTCTCTTTCCTCCCTCCTTCCCTTCCGTGCCTCCCTCATTCTCCCTCCTTCCCTTCCACTTTTTTGCTCTTCCTTCACTCTCTTTCTCCTTCCTTCCTTCCTTCCATCCATCCATCCTTCTCTTCCACCCTTCTTTCTTTCCTTCCTCCTTCCCTTCCGTGCCTCCCTCATTCTCCCTCCCTCCTTCCTTCCCTTCCACCTTTTCTCCCTTCCTTCACTCTCTTTCTCCTTCCTTCCTTCCTTCCTTCCTTCCATCCATCCATCCATCCATCCATCCTTTTCTTCCACCCTTCCTTCTTTCTTTCGTTCCTCCTTCCCTCCTTCCCTTCCTTACCTTCCTTACCTCCCTCATTCTCCCTCCCTACTTCCTTCCCTTCCATCTTTTTGTCCTTCCTTCACACTCTTTCTCCTTCCCTCCATCCATTCATCCTTCTCTTCCACCCTTCCTTCTTTCTTTCCTTCCTTCCTCCTTCCCCCCTTCTCTACCTTACCTCCCTAGTTCTCCCTCCCTCCTTCCTTCCCTTCCACCTTTTCTTCCTTCCCTCCCTCCCTCCCTTTTGTCTTCCCTCTCTCCCTTCCACCCTTCCTTCCATCCTTCTCTTCCTTCTCTCTTTCCTTCCTCCTTCCTTTCGTTACGTCCCTCGTTCTCCTTCCCTCCCTCCTTCCCTTCCACCCTTTCATCCTTCCTTCCCTCTTTTCTCCCTCCTTCCTGCTCTCTATTTATCCTTCCTTCCCTTTTGTCTTCCCTTCCTCCTTCCCTCCCTCCTTTCCTTCCTTCCTTCCATCCCTCTCTTCCTCCCTTCTCTTTTTCCTTCCTCCTTTCCTCCTGGGGTTTCCTTCCTCCTTTCCTCCTGACCGAAAAGGATGGAGTGTGATGGAGTCTCCTTCTCTGGAGGCTTTTCCACAGAGGCTGTCTATCAGGAGTGCTTTGATTATGCCTTCCTACATGGGAGGGGGTTGGACTGGATGACCCTTGGGGGGTCTCTTCCAGCTTTAGGTTTCAATACCAGGAGTAGCAAAGACGAGGTCCAATGGAGACACTTTGCGGCCCCCAAGTTAGAAAGTTTGCCCATGCCTGCTATATATCATAATAACAGAAGTTTACTATGATAATATATTATAACACAATACAATGATATTACCATTATTAGTATTGCAGTTACATTATATTGATCCCTTGCAAGTGGTGTACCCAAAACAATTGGGAATAACTAATATCTCCCTTTTCCATGGATTCCTCTTTCTTTTCCTGCCTTTCTTTCCTTGGGAAATATATCTGAGAGTCTTGGCCTTTGGAACGCTATCTATGTGTGTCTTGCCTTAATAATAATATTACTACCAATAATAATTCCTAACTCCTTTTCTGTCCTTCTGTCTTTGACACCTGTCAGTGACCTGCAGTGTCCAGCATGGGGCCGAAAGGTCAGAGGTCTCTGATAGCGATGGACGATGGGAGTTGTAGTTTCCAAGCTGCAGGCTTGGAGACACCAGTGACCTCTGACCTTTGGCGTCCTAACTGACCCTTTGAAGGGGGTTGGAAGGGGCGGCTATGGGGCTTGGCCTGTTTCCTCCTCTTCCTCTGCTTCCTCCTCCTCTTCCTCCCCCAGCCTTCTACACGGCTTCCCCGCTCACGTCGGCCGGGATCCTGCCGGTCATGCAGTCGCTGTGTCCAGATGGTCAGCGGGACGAGTTCGGATTCCTGCAGTACTCCAACTCCACGTACGTCCAGCCTGGAACCCTAGCACAACCGAGACATAGATATGATTGATAGATAGATGTGCGAGAGATATATAATCGAATCCTGGAGTTGGAAGAGAACCCCAAGGGCCATCCAGTCCAGCCCCCTTCTGTCATAAAAGGAAGGCACCACCTGATCCTTCCCAACAGAGGGTCATCCATACGATATGAGATAGATATAGACATATAGCATGATAGATTTGGGAGGGATCCCCCAAGGCCCATCCAGTCCACCCCCTTCTCCCATGAAAGGAACGCACCATGCGATCCCTCTTGACAGAGGTCCATTCAGTCATTGAGGGAAGATAGAATACATATATATGAGATAGATACAGTATCCTGGAATTGGAAGGGAACCCCAAGGACCATCCAGTCCATCCCTCTTCTGCCTTAAAAGGAAGGCACTATCCGATCCCTCCAAACAGAGGGCTATTCAGTCATTGATATAGGATAGTATAGTATATATGAGATGTAGCATCATAAATTTGGGTCTCAGTAGCCATCCAGTCCAGTCCCCCTTCTGTCTTAAAAGGAAGGCCATCCAATCCCTCCCAACAGAGGGCGATTCAGTCATTGATATAGGATAGTATAGTATATATGAGATACAGTATCATAATTTTGGAAGGGCCCCAAGGGCCATCCAGTCCAGCCCTCTTAAAGGCACCATCCGATCCCTCCCAACAGAGGGCGATTCAGTCATTGATATAGGATAGTATAGTATATATGAGATGTAGCATCATAAATTTGGAAGGGTCCCAGTGGCCATCCAGTCTAGTCCCCCTTCTGTCTTAAAGGGAAGGCACCATCCGATCCCTCCCAACAGAGGGAAATTCAGTCAACGATATAGGATAGTATAGATGAGATGTAGTATCATAAATTTGGAAGGGCCCCAATGGCCATCCAGTCCAGCCCCCCTCTGCCTTAAAAGGAAGGCACCTTCCAATCCCTCCCAACGGAGGGCCATCTAGACCCCCATCCATAGTGTGTAGAAGGGAGATCAGGGTCCCGCAACATTCTGTTTGGCCACGCCTCATCTGGAATGACCCAGTGTCCAGTTCTGGGCCCCGCCCCACAATTCATAACGATATCAATGAGTGGCGAGTGATTGAATCTCCCCTTCCTTTCCCGCAGCGTCACTCAGCTTCTGGAACGGCTCAATGAGGTGGTGGAGAAAAGCAAGCTGTTTGACCCGGATGGCGGGGGGCTGGAGGCGGAGCTGGACTCCCTGCGGCGCCACCTGGAGTCCCTGGGAAGCAGCGCACCCTCCGCCATGGAGTCCCACTTCCGCCAACGAGATGGTGGGTCTGGCACCGGGGGGCCCTTTGTTGGGGAGGGGAAGGGAAAACTAGACCTTCCTGGGGCCAATGTGGACTGTGACCCAGGCCTCAAATGCCCCTCTTGGCTCAATGAGGGGGTCATGAAATGTTGAGCAACATGGAATGCCATCTAGTGGCTGTTTGAGTTATTGACGGGGAAAGGTTTCTCAACAACATCTAGTGGCTGTTGATGGCATTGACAGATATGGGAAATTCAATCTGTATCATCATCATCTTATAATTTATACCCCCTTTTTCTCTCTCCCAGTGGAGACTCAAAGCATCTAACACTAAAAACCATAATAACCATATTCTCACATTAGAAGAGAATTAAATTTTGAACTATTACAACCGTGTTGTTAAAAGCAATAATGCCAGGAAATCATATCTATTAAATTATAAGGTATCTATGGAGCATGAATGAGTTTTGTGTTTTGACTTGGGTCCCATTTCCAAGGAATCCCATGATGTATGTATAGGGAGTAGGGTGTCAGGAGTCAATTTCTGACGGCATGAAGACTCCCTCCATGACATCCTGACTGAATCATTCTGGCTGAATCAATTCTCTGTGATATTTTGAAGCCAGCCGAGGGCACCGGAAGCCTTGTATTGGAATTTGTGAAGCAACAAGTTCTAATATGGAAACTGAAAAGAGGGGGGAGATGGGCAGGAAAGGTGTATAAAAGGAAGTGATGGTGGGAAAAAAGTCAGTAGATACAAGCAATATATCCATTTCAAAGCAAAAATGGCTTGTGAGTGGTTATTTAATATTGCTGTATAGATCCTACAGTCTTACATTGGGATTGAACTGGAAAACAACAATCAATGACCTCTTTGTTGTTTTCCTTCCTGCGTTACCCCTTGAACCCATTCCCAGGCTTCACACTTGACTCTGCGACCAAGGACCAGGTGACCTTCCGACGCTTTCTGACCCAGAACCTCTCCTTGTCCAACGAAACGGCTGAAGCCTTGGTCGGATCCAGGGTGAACTTGAAAGAGGTGTGTGAAAGCCTTTGACCAGGAGGTCTGGCTCCGACAGGGACAAAGACGCTTTGTTTACAAATGCCATGTAAACAGCAGGAGCCCTCCTTCTGGGTGATTCTGTTCACTATCTCGACTGGGATGTGGACCTCATGGCATTGGGCTCTGGGCAAGGAGAGAATCCCAATGCAATCCTGTGAGTCTCTCTCCTTTCCCCAGGTGTACCGGATCTTCTTCGGTGTTCCTTCCAGCGGCTTCCGCGAACCGTGGGACACCTTCCACCCGGCGGACAGACTCCAGCGGCTGGAGGTGAGGAGGCTTCGCAGTTCCAGAGCTCCTAAAGACCTGGGACCTGGAACCTTCACCCCTACGAGGACTCAGAATCTATGGATGCAGAACTTACAACGTCCAAAACTCACAGGGCCTGCAAAGTGAAACATTGGACACTTTGGTCCTACAAATCCAGGTCCTAGAACTTTCACTCCTAAAACTCAAGTCCTACAGCATTTGATCCTAGAATCTCAGGTCCTAGAGACCCTGAGCTCAGAAACTGTACTTCTACAAGAACTCAGATCTTAGAGATTCAGATCTTAATAATATAATAATATACTTTGTTTATATTCCACCCTATCTCCCCGAGGGGACTCAGGGCGGATTACAGTACACATATACGGCAAACATTCAATGGTGTTATCCTATAACAAAGACAGACAGTACATAAACAAAATTAAAGGCTTCCCATCTTTTTCCATTTCTGGCATCTGGAGGCTGTGCTCAGTTCTGGACACCAGGGATGCTCTCACTTTATCTTCCCGATCAAATCGCTGGCATGTCCGCATGGGCGCCTTTTATTACCTCCCCATCAAAAATATTAAATGTAATAACAATAATAAATAGAGCAAAATAATAAATGTAAATAATAATAAAGTAAAATATGGAAATGTAATAATAACGATAATTAGAGTAAAATTTATAACTGTAATAATCATAGAGTAAATAAATGTAACAATAATAGAGTAAAATAATAAATGTAATAATAATAATATAATAAAACAATAAATGTAACAACAATAATACATAGAGTAAAATAATAAATGTGATAAAAAATATTAGAGTAAAATGTTTATCTACTCACATTGCTGTTTTCAAACTGCTAGGTGAGCAGAATCTGGGCTGACGGTTGGGAGCTCACCCCAACCCAGGCTTGAATTGTAAACCTTTCTATCAGCAAGATTTTCTGCAGCTGGCAGTTTAACACGCTGGAATAAAGCCTGGCCCTAAGAACCTTAGTTCCTAAATACTCACATCCTACAGAAACCCAGGTCCTAGAACCTTAGGTCCTAAATACTCACATCTTACAGGAATCCAGGTCCTAGAACCTTAGGTCCTAAATACTCACATCCTACAGAAACCCAGGTCCTAGAACCTTAGGTCCTAAATACTCACATACTGCAGAAACCTAGATCCTAGAACCTTAGGTCCTAAATACTCACATACTGCAGAAACCTAGGTCCTAGAACCTTAGGTCCTAAACACTCACATCTTACAGGAATCCAGGTCCTAGAAACTTGGGTCCTAAATACTCGCAACCTATAGAACCCCAGGTCCTTCGAATTCATCTCCTAAATCCTGGGGGCCTACAGCTTCAGTGCCTAGAACCTCCGGCTTGACAAACTCAGTTCCAACAACTTCAGCTTCTAGCACTTGAGATCCTACCAACTCAGTTCCCAGAACCTGAGATCCTACAAACTTCTAAGTCCTAGAAGTTCAGGTTCTTGACAAACTCGGGTTCTTCAAAGATGGGTGGTCTCTCTCTTTCCTTAAGGAGAGGAGGCTTGGAAAGGTGGGAGGAAAAGAGAGACAAAGGGATTGGGGGGTCCATCCAGGGAGGTTGCAGAGCTATTGGGGTCAAAGAGGTCCCTCCGTGGGGTCGTCATCATCGGAATTGACTTGAGCCACTTTTCTGCACCTCCGCATCTGCCTTGAGCTGATTGGTGTCCCTGCAACCCTTTCCCTTGCAGGAGAGCCTCCATTGGGGTCATAAGGAGAGCCAGGCCCCTCCGCAGAAGGGCTCCTCACAGCAGAAGGGTGTGCCCCACTTCCTGTCCCAGGTCTTGGGCCTCCCCAGTGACCCCATGCAGCCGTCCGTACCCTACGGCCCTCAGGCCTTCATCAGGGACATGGAGGTGAGTAAGGGTTGCGTAGTTCTGTCCGGGGTTGTTTGGGAGCTTCCTGGGTTTGCTAGAAACCTCCTGGGCTTCTCTAGTATGTTGTCATATGGGACCTGCATTGTTTACCTTTCCTAGAAGATTGTGCTTTGGGAGTTTCCAGGATTTTGCGATTATATTACTGTTTGGGAACGTTCTGGGTTTGCTAGTATATTCCCTCCTATCGATGCAATTTGCTGGCCAACTTGCTTCTTATCATCCAATTAAGTGACGTCAGTTGTTTCTGCTTCAGCAGCGGCTCTTATCTTTATTTACATTTCATTCATTGCAATAACACTTCCTCGTTAGCACAGTCACGATGCAAGAGAGGAAGCGACTGGCGACTGCTATATTTATGCCCCACTGTTAACAGCTCATTAATTCATTGTCCAGCCTCCTAGTCTATTGCAACATCTTCCTTGTCTGTTCTATGCATACTTCATAATCTTCCAAAGATTAACTCTTTTACAGCTAGCAGCACGAACATTTTAAACTTGGACAATATATATTGACATTACACTGATTCCTTCCTCCCCTGCAGGATTTACTCTTCCGTCCCTTGGTATTGGAGGGCCTCACCTGCCACCGGGGCGAATTGCAGCGCCTCCTGGTGGCCCCCGAGGGCCAGCGCCGGGTCCTGAAGGGCTACCAAGCAGCTGTCTGCAACCGGAGCACAGCCCTGCGCAAGGAGCATTTTGGGAAGCTGGCGGTGGAGCTGAAGGAGCAGCTGGACGCCCCAAAGATCATCCATCAGGTGAGGCTGGATGGCCATTTGATGGGAGGGATCAGATTATGTTTTACTCTGTGACAGAATTGGGTTGGACTGGATGGCCCTAGGATTCCGTGATATTACGTATCTATGACTGGATGGCCATCTTTTGGGAGTGCTTGGATGGCGTCCTTCCTGAAAGAAGGGGGTTAGACTGGATTGCCCTTGTGGTTCCTTCTATGATGTATGGATGTGTGTGTGTAGCTATATAAATAAAAATGTAATGTTCGTTTGTGGGATTAACATAACTCAAAATCCACTGGGTGAATTGACACCAAATTTGGACACAATACACGTATCAGGTCAACAAGTGACCATCACTCATAAAGACACTGAAAAATGCAGCGGAAGAGACTTAAAACACCAAAAAAACAAAAATTACAGTGCGTGCGCAAAATCATATATATATATACAAATACACAAAACACACATACACAGACTGGGCCACAGCAATGCATGGCAGGGGATGGCTAGTGTGTGTGTGTGTGTGTGTATATATATGTGTGTATATATAAACACATCATGAGAAGAAAGGAAAGCTTAGAGAAGAGATTGATGCTTGGGAAAATGGAAGAGGGGCCGATCAAGGGCAAGATGGATGGATGGGTGGCATCCTTGAAGTGACTGGATTGACCTTGAAGGAGCTGGGGGTGGTGACGGCCGACAGGGAGCTCTGGCATGGGCTGGTCTATGAGGTCATGAAGAGTCAGAAACGACTGAATGAATGAACAACAAATATATAATCACATATATATAACATTCATATATCACATCATTCATATACCGCCCTGAGTCGCCTTCGGGCTGAAATGGGCGGGATAGAAATAATGTAAAATAAATAAATAAATATGCATACACATACATACATACATATATATATATATATATCATATCTGTCAGTCATATCTCTGGCTTCTGGGAGGGATTGCATGGTGCCTTCCTTCATGACAGGATGGGACTGGGCTGAATATTTATTTATTCATTTCTTTACTATATTTATATACTGCCCCTCTCAGCACACAGGCAACTCAGGGCGGTTTACAGTCAACACCAAAAACATAAAATACAATTAAAACAGTTAATTCAAATATAAAACCAGATAGAACAATCAATATCAATAAAAACATGTATGAGTTCGAGTCTCCTAGTTAAAAGCATTATCTAATAGCGTCGTCCACCTTTGAAGTCCCTTCCAACTTCAAGATTCTATGATATCTTTGTGTGTGTGTTTGTGTACGTACACACACACATATATCAGTCCCAACCATATCTATGTATCCTATCCATGGCTACCTTTCTATGACTGGATGGCCATCTTTTGGGAGGACTTGGATGGTGTCCTTCCTGACAGAAGGAGGTTCTACTGGATGGCCCTTGGAGCTCCATCCATGGTGTATGGATGTGTGTGTGTGTATTTATCTATGTATCCTATCCATGACCACCTATCTATGGCTGGATGGCCATCTGTTGGGAGAGATGGGCAGTGTCCTCCTGCCCAGCCGAAGGGGTGGGGCCAGGTGGCCTTTGGGTGCCCCTTCTCCTCCACCTTCCCTTTTGTGTCCGTAGCTGCGACTTGACGAGATCAATGCCTCGGAGGAGGCCGTCGGGGGCCGCCTGCACTCCCTACTGGAGGACCTGCTGGCCCTGCAAACGGTGCTGCGAGAGGTGGACGTCCTCTCGGCTTTGGCCCGGCTGCTGCCCCAAGGAGCCTGTGCGTCTGCCGCTGCCCGAGGAGGAGCCTCCTTTGGCCCCACGGCCGCCAACGCCACCAGCCTTAGCGCCAACTTCTCCCTGGGGGCCAATGCCAGCGTTATTGAGGAGGAGGAGCAGGAGCAGGAGGGCAGGGAGCCCCCCACAGCAGAGGACCCCCGCGGACAGTACGCCGCCTTCGTCCAGCTCTGGGCCGGGCTGCAGCCCATCCTCTGCGGAAACAACCGGTACGGAGCCCCAACAACAGGGGCCATAGGGCCACATTGGGATACGGCTCTGGGAAGCATGTGGATGGAGGAAAACATTATTATTATTCTTTATATTATTGTATTGCTAATATTACTATTACCGTATATACTCAAGTATAAGATTAGTTTTTCAGCCCTTTTTTAGGCTGAAAAAGCCCCCCTCGGCTTATACTCGAATCAAAGTTATTTATTATTTTACTGTTATTATTAGTATTAATATTATTATATTTCCATATTTTATTCTATTATTTTTAACACATTTATTTTTACTCTGTTTATTGTTATTATATTTATTATTTTAGCCTATTATTATTAAATTTATTATTTTACTTTTTATTAATATTTATTGTTATTAACATTTATTATTTTACTCTATTATTGTTATTACATTTATTATTTTACTCTTTTATTGTTACTACATTTATTTACTCTATTATTATTACAGTTATGATTTTACTCTATTGTTATTATTACATGTCCATATTTTACCCTATTATTATTACATTCATTCTTTTGCTCTATTTATTATTGCTATCACATTAAATATTTTATTCTTTTATTATTTACATTTATTATTTTACTCTTATTATTGTTATTACATTTATTATTTTACTCTGTTGTTATTACATTTGTTATTTTATTCTATTATTGTTACATTTATTATTTTACTCTATTTGTTGTTATTATTAAATTTATTATTTTGCTCTGTTATTACTGTTATTACATTTCTATTATTTTACTCTATTATTATTTTATTACAGTTATTATTTATCTTTATTTTTGGAAGGATACGTAAGCACATTTACATTGAAGAAGGTTAGAATAATTGTCTAATCAGAGCTGGAGAGTCTTTGACTTAAATTACAGTTTTATGTAAATATTCAAAAACATTTAACCCACTGATGGGTCAATTAATGTAATTTTATTGGTATCTATTTTTATTTTGAAATTGACCCATAGCTGCTGCATTCCCACCCTGGGAATAAATTTTCCTAGTTTTTTTGTGGTAAAACTAGGTGCCTCGGCTTATATTTTTTCGGCTTATACTCGAGTGTATACCCTAATATAAATAAATTGATAATATAATATAAATTTAAAAGTAGGCTATGTTGTTTATTCGTTCTGACTCTTCATGACTATAAATACAATAAATATAAAGGCTGTATATGCAATAAATATAATAATAATAATAATAATAATAATAATAATAATAATAATAATAATATAAATACATTGATGAGGATGATAAGGCCCATACAAAACATGGAAGCTTGGAGGAAGCAAATAGCCGTAGTTTCAGGTGGGTTTGTGCCTTTGGGTTGACCCCTGAAATCCAATTGGAGGGTGTTTTGCAGAGATTGAACCATCCCAAGGGCTGCCTTTGACCAGCCTATGCATCCCAATGTATATCTGTATGTGTCTTCATAACCTCTGTAGGACCATTGAGCCGGAGGCCCTGAAGCAGGGCAACATGAGTTCCCTGGGTTTCACCAGCAAAGAGCAGCGCAACCTGGGGCTCCTTGTCCACCTGATGACCAGCAACCCCAAGATCCTTTATGCCCCCGTTGGCACCGAGGCGGACAGGGTCATCCTCAAGGTCAGGGGACTTCCAAGAATGAAAGCAAGAGAGGGGGATGATGGGAGTGACGGTCGGTCCTGACTTCCTTTGTCCTTCCCTCTCAGGCCAACGAGACCTTTGCCTTCGTAGGCAACGTAACCTGCTTTGCCCAGGGGTGGCTCAACGTTTCGGCCCAGATCCGTGGCTTTTTGGAAGAAGGCAAGCTTCAGGAACGGATCCGGCGGCTGCGCGAGGTATGGATCCCGCCTGGGAATGGTCCCTGGGTCCTCTGTGGGAGGTTGTAGTGCAGAGGCCCCACTTCTTGTGTCTCCCCTCTTCCTCCTTGCAGGTGGCGGCCGACCTCCAGAAGCACCCGGAGGCCCTGAACGCCTCGGACGGTGACCTCCTTCACCGCTTCCTGGAGAGCGACTTCTCTCTGCCCAACGCCAGCGCCCTCCTCTCCCAGCTGGACGCCATTGACAACGCAGCCTGTGGCTGGGCCCAGTTCATGGCCAAGGTGGGAGACATCCCTTGCCGCCACGGTTACACCCCCCCCCCCCCCCCCCCCCCCCCCTCGAGGCGGGAAGGAATCCTGACCCCCTGTTCCTCTTCCTCAGGTCAGTGTGGACATCTTCAAGGGCTTCCCTGATGAGGAGAGCATTGTCAACTACACCCTCAACCAAGCGTACCAAGACAACGTCACCGTCTTTGCTAGTACGGAAACCCCTGTAACGCTCTGAGCTCTGGGGCCCAGGAGAAGGCTGGGCTGGTGGTTGTGGCCTGGCCTCTGCAGCCCTGCTGAACACTCGCTCCCATCGCTCCCAAGTGCCGCTAGGATTCTTCAGCTAGTGTCCATGAGATGCTATTGAGATCATGGCTGAGGGACTTCAGCTTAGCAACTCTGAGCCACCCATGGTTGAGATATCCCAATTAAGGTGTATTGAGGTGCCATTGAGATCCAGGTTGAGATCTTTCAGCTGTGCCTGGGATCTGTTGTGACATGATGGCTTTAAGGCCCATGGTTGAGGGTCTTCTGAAATCATTAATTGAGATGCCATTGAGACCCAGGCCAAGGGCCTTCTGATATAGTTCATTGAGACACCATTGAGATCCAGGTTGAGGCTCTTCTGATATAGTTCATTGTGATGCAATTGAGACCTAGGGTGAGGCTCTTCTGCTATTGTTCATAGAGACCCCATTGAGAACCAGGTTGAGGGACTTCTAATATAGTTAATTGAGATCCAGGTTGAGGGCCTTCTGATATCGTTCATTGATACGTCATTGAGACCCAGATTAAGGATCTTCTGATACCATTCATTAAGATACCCTTGAGATCCAAGTTGTGAGTCTTTTGATATAGTTCATTGAGGTTCCATTGAGACCAAGGTTGAGGGTCTTCAGACATTTTATTGAGATGCCCTTGAGATTCAAGTTGTGGGTCTTCATGTGTTGTTAATTTAGATGCCATTAAGATTCATGGTTGAGGATCTTCTGATATCATTCATTCAGATGCCATTAATACCCAGGTTGAGGGTCTTCAGACATAGTTAACTGAGATACCTTTGAGATCCAAGTTGTTGGTCTTCATATATAGTTAACTAAGATGCCATAGAGCAGTGGTTCTCAACCTGTGGGTCCCCAGGTGTTTTGACCTGCAACTCCCAGAAGTCCCTGCCAGTTTACCAGCCGTTAGGATTTCTGGGAGTTGAAGGCCAAAACATCTGGGGACCCACAGGTTGAGAACTACTACCATAGAGATTCATGGTTGAGGGTCTTCTGATATCATTCATTGAGATGCCATTGAGACCCAAGTTGTGGGTCTTCTGATATAGTTCATTGAGATGCCACTGAGACCCACGTTGAGATTTTTCAGCTGCGGCTGGGATCCTTGGTGATATGGCAACGTTGAGATCCTTGGTTGAGATCTAACAGCTGTGGTTGTAATTTATTGGTGCCCATGGTTGGGATCCCTCAACCGTGGCTGTGATCAGAGTCCTGCAGCTGGGGTCTAGCGGAGTCCTAGACCCCAGAGGTCCGAAGGGATGCCCTGAAGGCCCTCAATGGCCCTCCGTTCTCTGTTTTCCCTCAAAAGGCGTGATCTTCCAGACCCGGAAGGATGGCAGCCTCCCTCCCCATGTCATGTACAAGATCCGGCAGAACTCCAGCTTCACAGAGAAGACCAACGAGATCCGGAGGGCCTACTGGCGGCCCGGGCCCAACACCGGTGGCCGGTTCTACTTCCTGTACGGCTTTGTGTGGATCCAAGGTCAGCCTTCCAAGCTCTCCTCTGTCCTCCTGTCTTCCCTTCTTCGTGGTCCAGAGGGATTCAGTCCTCCAAAGAGATATGCATCTTTTGTCTACCACTCGCTGCTTTTTTTTTCACAGACATGATGGAGCGTGCTATTATCAACACCTTCGTTGGTCACGACGTTGTCGAACCCGGGAACTACGTGCAAATGTTTCCGTATCCGTGTTACACGCGAGATGAGTGAGTCTCTAGGCACAGATTGGCTCATGCCTTAAAAGGGACCTTTCATATTGGAAATGGGCAAGGCTCCAGGAAAGGAAAAGAAAGCGTCCATCGTTCCATTGATTGAAAGAGCATGACCTGAATCAAGGAAATGGATATGGATTGTTTTAATTAATTAGGAGTAATTTTGGAATGAATTGTGAGAAAGCTTTTGCTTGCAAAATACTTCCAATAAATGAAGGAATAGATGAATGAATGATGGGATGAATTGATGCATTGATGAATAGATTGATGTATTGATGGATATGAATGTATTGATGAATGAATGGATGGGTCGATGAATGACTGAATGGATCAGTAGGTGGATGGATTGATGAATGCATGCCTGGATGGATAGATGAATTGGTGGATATAACTTAATGGATGGATGGATACATAAATTGATGGATAGGTGGATGGGTAGATGGATTGATGAATGAATGTTTGGGTGGATGAATAGATGGATAACTTGATGGATGGATGAGTTGATGGATGGATGGATACATAAATGGACAGATGAGTGGATAGATGAATTGATGAATGAATGCCTGAATGGATGGATACATAAATGGATGGATGGAGGAATGAATGGATTGGTGAATGAATGTCTGGATGGATGGATGGATGGATGGATGGATAGGTGTATGTATTGATGAATGAATGTCTGGATGGATGGATGGATGGATGGATGGATGGATGGATGGATGGATGGATGGATGAATGGATGGATGGATGGATGGATGGATGGATGGATGGATGGATACATAAATGGATGGATGGATCCATAAGTGGATGGATGGATAGGTATATGGATTGATTGTTTGATTGATGAATGAATGAATGCCTGAATGGATGGATGAATTGATGGATATATAAATGGATGAGTGGGTGGATAGGTGGATGTATGTATGAATGAATGTCTGGATGGATTGATGGATAAATACATAAATAAATGGATGGACTGATGAACGAATGACTGAATAGATGGAAGGATGATGGCTCTATGAGTGTATCAATGTGGGTCTGTGATGGCTTGGCTTGCCAATGCCCCGCCTCTTCTTCCCCACAGCTTCCTGTTTGTGATCGAGCACATGATGCCCCTCTGCATGGTCATCTCCTGGGTCTATTCGGTGGCCATGATGATCCAGCACATCGTGGCGGAGAAGGAGCACCGTCTGAAGGAGGTAAGGCTTCTCCCTCTTCAGTCCTGGATGCTCCAAGTTCCGGACCGAACCGCAAGGGAAGCTCCAGTATGGCACCTCTCCCTCCTTTGCAGGTGATGAAGATGATGGGGCTCAACAATGCCGTCCACTGGGTGGCCTGGTTCATCACTGGCTTTGTCCAGCTGTCCATCTCAGTTACGGCGCTGACTGCCATCTTGAAGTATGGCAAGGTCCTCATGCACAGCGACGTCTTCATCATCTGGCTCTTCCTGGCCATTTATGCTGTGGCCACCATCATGTTCTGGTGAGTCCCGGGAAGGAAAGAAACAAGGGAGGGGTGACCAATGGCATGAGAGAGCAATGGTCAACACACTGTTACGAATAGGATTGCATCTTGACTGCTACAGCCTTCTCTGTGTGGGACTGGCCTTGAAAGCTGCCCTCCCAGTGAATGGCTTTGCCCAGAAGTGAAGCCGAAGATCACTGAGCTATGACTTCCCTCCATCTAGACACTTATCTTCCTATGGATGCAGCCTAGAATCTCATTGGCCTTTTCCACTGTAGTGTCACACTTTTGGCTCCTGTTCCACTTGTGGCCCACTAAGTTTCCCATGTCTCTTTCCAAGCCAATTCCATATCGAATTCCATGGGGTGGGCTTTGCATTTCCGTCCCTTTCTTTCCCTCCGCAGCTTCCTCATCTCGGTGCTCTACTCCAAAGCCAAGCTGGCCTCAGCGTGTGGCGGCATCATCTACTTCCTGAGCTACGTCCCTTATATGTACGTCGCCATCCGCGAAGAAGTGGCCCACGACAAGATCACTGCCTTTGAGAAGTGCATCGCAGTGAGTTGAAGACCTCCCTCTCCTTGGTCCTGGGTTCAGATTCAAACTTCCAGGAGCCTCTTTTGTGTCTGGCTGCCTTCCAAGTTTGGATCTTGACCAAATAGGGAAAGGTTCTCCTCTTTGGTTTGTCTGAAAAGGGACCAAGTTCAAGTCTTGTGTGTGCACCCTCAAGTCAGCTTATTATGTTCATTGCTGTTATTGTTCTGTCACCATCATTATAGCATTATTATTTTAATAGCATTATTATATTAATATATTTGGCATCATTGTATTATCATTATGATCATTATGATCATGTTTTAATATATCATCATTATGTTCTGTTATTATATTACCATCTATTATTATATATTATCACCAACATTATATTATTATTATTATTATCATCATCATTCTATTATATTACATTTATTATAATATCATCATTATATTATTATTTTTACATTATTATATTGCCATCTATTATAATAATGAATTATCACTGTCATTATATATTATTATTATGTTATTATATTACCATCTATTATAATATCACCATCATTATATTATTATCGTTATATTATTATATTACAATCTATTGTTATATTGTGTTATCAACATCATTATATTATTGTTACTATTATATTATTATTGTTACATCGTCACTATATTTTAATATCATTGGCATTATTATATTAATATATTTGGTATCATTGTATTATCATTATGATCAAGACGATCATTATTAATATATTATATCATCATAACTTATTATTATTTTATTATATTACCATTTATTATTATATATTATCACCAACATTATATTATTATCATTATATTATTGTATTACCATCTATTATATCACTGTCATATTATTATTATATTATTATTATTATTATATTATCATTATTATTATCATTATATCATCACTATATTTTTAATATCATTGGCATACTATTATTATTATTATTATTATTATTATTATTATTATTATTATTTGATACACAACGAGATAGCCTCCAAAATCTGAACCAGAGCTGGCTCTGTTTTGCTTCCAAGGTCAAGACAGGGTCTGGTACCTTTAGAGTTTTTTTAAGGACAGCCCGTTCCTTGAAGGCAAAGGACGTTTGATTTCTTGGTGGCCCCGCTGACCGTTCTCTCTCTGTCTCTTTCATTTTGCCACCCAGTCGCTGATGTCCACCACAGCCTTTGGCCTGGGCGCCAAGTACTTTGCCCTCTATGAAGTGGCTGGCGTGGGCATCCAGTGGCGCACCTTCAGCCAGTCACCGGTGGAAGGGGATGACTTCAACCTCCTGCTCTCCATGATGATGCTGGGCATCGACGCCGCTGTCTACGGGGTCCTTACTTGGTACATTGAGGCCGTGCACCCAGGTGCGTTTGGGCAGGACATTCCTAGGGAGCTTTTGCATTGCGAGCGTTTCATCGACTGGTAGTGGTTTTCCAGCTGGGTGCTATGCAAATGAGGAGGCGTGGCCATGCAAATGTGTCTGCACTGTTTTGCTTCCCTTCCGCTAGGCATGTATGGCCTGCCCCGGCCCTGGTACTTCCCGCTGCAGAAGTCCTATTGGCTTGGCAATGGACGCATCGAGACATGGGAGTGGACGTGGCCCTGGTCAAGGGCCGCCCGGCTGAGTGTCATGGAGGAGGACCAAGCCTGCGCCATGGAGAGCCGCCGGATGGGTGAGACTCCCTACGCAATTATTATTATTATTATTATTATTATTATTATTATTTAGCATCAGAAATTCCGGTTTCCAAGCTTGTTTCCTGTATTGACGGGAAAGAAAAACTATTGTAATTCACTGTTCTGTCACTGGGCAGTTGGAGCACAGTTTGCAGGAGAACCAGAGGACAAAATCTTTATTTTCCATGTTGAAAAAAATGCACAAATCAACCACCTCTGAATTTTGGACAGAACAAAAATTGCTTTTTGACTATTTTCCAAATATTTTTGAAAGTTCTTCCCATACCAAATTGCTGTAAATGTTACAGTCCCTAATAATAATAATAATAATAATAATAATAATAATAGTAGTAGTAGTAGTAGTAGTAGTAGTAGAAATAATTTGCTATAAATATTGGAAATGCATCATTGGGAAAATGTAATAATAATAACAAAAATGTATTCTTTTTCTGATACATTTTGTTGTTACAAAGAAAAAGAATAATACATGTTTGTATTTTTATTATATTCTCCCAGTGATTTATTTCTATGATTTATAGCAAATTATTGTTGTTGTTATTATTATTAATATTATTTTTGCCCTGCTTTTGTACCAGAATTCAGATCAAAAATTTAAAAAACCATACAATGTGTGTGTGTGTGTGTGTTTATATGTACTCTTTCCATCCCGAATTGCTGATCCATCCTGGAAATAAATCAGCCCTCAATTTACAATGCGTTATCATTATGGTGACTGTTTTTTGTCAGAACTGAGACCTACTTAAATAAACAAAAGTATATAAAATTTCTGTTTACTATAATCAACATGGTTATTGTATGACATCAGAAACTCCGGTTTTCAAATTTGTTCCATCTCTTGAGAGATTTTAAAAAATTGCTTTCAGAGATTGTAATTTACAGTTCTGCCACTAGGTGTCAGTAGAGTGCAGTTGAGGCTCAGTTTGCAGGAGAACCAAGGGAATGGGCAAAACCATAATCATTCGCAATATATGTAGAGGGGTGACTATATGTGTGTGTACGTGTGTGTTTTTTGTCCTCCCTGCAGAGGAGACCCGGGGCATCGAGGAGGAGCCCACCCACCTCCCGCTGGTTGTCTGCATTGACAAACTGACCAAGATCTACAAGACAGACAAGAAGATGGCCCTTAACAAGCTGAGCCTGAACCTCTATGAGAACCAGGTGGTCTCCTTCTTGGGCCACAATGGAGCCGGGAAGACCACCACCATGTGAGTGATCACCCTCCTCTTTGGGGGTGTTTTTAAGGGGGGGTGCGGTACCTCCTATTAAGGGGGCATTTGATATTGGAGACGATAACCCTCAGAATCCAGTGGGCAGTGCATTATGGGAGCTGTAGTTCTGCAAAAGTAACATCCCACGAAGCAGCTTGTCAATATCATGTTTCCAGTATAAAAACTGTAATTGTAACTCACTGTTCTGTCACTAGGGGCCAGTAAAGAACCGATGTGGCTTTGCAGGAGAAACAAGACAGGGCACAATTGGGGATGGATTCATTGTCCATCTTAGGGGCCTCCTTCATGACCTTGACAACATCTTCCTTCCCTCCAGGTCCATCTTGACGGGGCTTTTCCCTCCGACCTCGGGGTCGGCCACCATTTATGGCCACGACATCCGGACTGAGATGGATGAGATCCGGAAGAACCTGGGGATGTGTCCACAGCACAACGTCCTCTTCGACAAGCTGACCGTGGACGAACACCTCTGGTTCTACTCTCAGCTGAAAGGCATGGCCCAAGAGGAGCTCCGCAAGGAGATGCACAAGTAAGTGTGTCCTGTCCCCGGTGGCGTGGGGCCTTGTGGAACTATGACTCCCAGTATTTTCCATAGTATCAAGTGGTGTCATAGCTGCCTAGTCTCAACTCTACAGAGTCCTGGGATTTGTAGTTTGGTAAGGCATCTACACTTTTGAACAGAGAAGGTTTGGGACCTTGCGAAACTACAACTCCCAGGGTTCCATCGCATTGTGCCATGCAGTTAAAATTGTGTCACCCTATGTTTGCTGTTTTTTTTCCTGTTTTTAATGGTCCAGCATTGAATGCCTTTCAATTCAGTGTATGTTATTACTATTATTATACAATATATTATATCATACTATATTATAATAATATTATTTTATATTTCTTATTGTTTTATTTTTTTAATCGCATTCTTAACTCAGCGCAATTTAAAACCCATAGCATTTGAGTATTAGATTCAGCAAACCAGTGTATGGAAATCCCGTAAAAGACTTTAAAATTCTTAAAAGTAATCATAAACTCAGCGGATTGTATCTTAACATTTTCAAACTTTTGTCAACGAAAATGGATAAGGATAGATCATATAAACCGCCATTGGGAGGGATGTGCTCCCCAGCCTGCCCTCCCCTTCCTTGCCACAAGGGGCCGCCAGAGATCAAACCAGGAAAAAGTTAGTTTACCATGATGCAACTAAGGATTTGGGGGAAAGGCACAGACTTGGTGACCTCTGTTGACCCCGGTCCTGCTACCCCTCCAGGATGATTGAGGACCTGGAGCTGACCCACAAGCGCCACTCCTTGGTGCAGACCTTGTCTGGAGGGATGAAGAGGAAGCTGTCGGTAGCCATCGCCTTCGTGGGGGGTTCCCGGGCCGTCATCTTGGACGAACCCACGGCCGGAGTGGACCCTTATGCCCGAAGGGCCATCTGGGACCTTATCCTCAAGTACAAGCCAGGTAAGGAAGAGAAGTTGGGGAGCAACCATGACCCTATAGAGAAGGACCCCCATGATGGCGGGACCAGGTTTCGCTAGCAATGTGCTCTGTCTTCCAGGCAGTTCTGTGGTCTCCTTCCCCAGAGATGCCTTGGAGGACCTCTCAGATTCCTAGACAGGGGTCCTACCTAGGAAACTCTGGGTCCTCCAATGCAAATCAGTGGACTGGACATAAGGAGATGCAATGGCCTTCGGTGATGTGCAGTTTCATTGGAAATATTATATTTTATAGTAATTATTTTTTAATTAAAGTAATAATAGTTCCAATTGATAGTAATATATGAATTTTGCATATCTTTCTGTGTATGTGTGTCTTTGTGTGTGTGTATGTGTGTGTGTGTGTGTGTGTGTGTGTGTGTGTGTATATATATATATATATATATATATAATAGTATCCACGGTCTACCCACAGTTTCATTGGAAATATTATTATAATTGATACTAATTATAATTATTAATGATAATATATTTCCAATGGACAATAACATATGAATTATATATATAATAATATATTATTATTATAATATAATAATAATTCCAAAGGGGTGATAATTATGATTATATAATAACATATAATAATAATAAAAATGAAACCCAGCATATATATTTCGTTTTCCGTGCCATACTGTGTTTTTGTGTCTGTAAAATATTATTTATTTATTTATTTATTTATTTACATTTATTTACAGCATTTTTACACCGCCCTTCTCATCTCCCGGGGGAGGGGGGACTCACTCCCTTTGGCGAGAGAGGGTGGGTTATAAATATATTATTATTATTATTATTATTATTGTATGTGTGACTGTGTATTATATTTTACACACACACACACACACATGCACATTATATATAATAATCATGGACAAACGTTGGCTGTCCAGGCGATTTGGACTTCAACTCCCAGAAATCCCAGCCTAGATTTGTGGGAGTTGAAGTTCAAAACACCTGGAGGGCCAAAGTTTGCCTATGCCATCAATATATACATATATGTGTGTGTGTGTGTGTATATATGTATGTATGTATGTATATATGGTACATATACATAGTGTATATGAATATAAATCCTATATTACTAATTGGCTCATTAGAACTATATTAATAATAGTGATCTATTATTATTATTATTATTATTATTATTGGTATTAATAGTAATAATAATAATAATAATAATAATACCCTGCTTTTCTTTCCTTAAGGGAGATTCAAAGCTGGAGTATATATCCTTTGCCAATTCTATATTCTAAATGAAGGAAAAATTAGGTGCTGTAGAATCATTAAACTCAAGGAAAAGCCAGTTCAACCCTACAGAAAGTTTTGACCCTTTCTGTCTTCCACGAATATTCTACTAATGACAATAAGGATCCACGTGACCCGTTTTTGCAGTCTTGGTCATTTTTCCCTTGCGCAGTTTCACGATTGGCTGAGACATTTCTTCATATCCTCTTACGATTGGCTGTACGTTTTGTCAGCTGTTGCTAGGCAGATGTGCTGAAGCGGCTGTGTCCTTAGATGACCTCTGTTCTGCATTCCATTGGTGGTGGTATCAGTGGAGGTTGTTTCAAGACACAGACTTTTAATTCAAGTAGGAGGTTCCGTAGTGGTGCAAGATGGGAGAAGTAGTAGTAGATAAATAACCAATAGTATTGGGATGATGGGCTCTCAAGGTGGTTGGGGAATCTGCTCCGGGCTTCAGTCCAAACTTGATTGGAATCTTGTCCCTGAGTTGTCCATCTCCTTTATTTCCCTCTTCCTTTTTCTTTGGCCCCAAACAGGACGGACCATCCTCCTCTCAACGCACCACATGGACGAGGCTGACCTCCTGGGCGACCGCATCGCCATCATTTCCCATGGGAAACTCAAGTGCTGCGGGTCCCCGCTCTTCCTGAAGGGCACTTATGGGGACGGGTACAAGCTGACCCTGGTCAAGAAGCAGTCAGAGGCCCCGAGCAGCGCCGGTCAGTGCAAGGCCCTCCCCATGGACATCATCATTATCATATGTATCTATATGAAATCAGTTGGGAGCCCCTCCCCCAGTAAAGAAAGGGGGCCAGGAAGACAGTTCCACCTAATAATATAATATTATAATAATAATAATACTATCCTGTGTTATGTACATGTAACGACAACAACAGCAACAACAATAATAATATATTCTGATGTTTATGTGATGGTCTTCCCTGCAGAGCCTCGCAGTCCTACCTGCTGCCCTCCAGCTGTCAGCCCTTGTTCCGAGGCCCGGGTCACACAGTTCGTCCAGCGGTTCGTGGCCTCCGGTCTCCTGGCCTCTGACACCAACACGGAGCTCTCCTATGTCCTGCCCAGCGAGGCGGTCAAGAAGGGCTGCTTCGAGAGGCTCTTCCAGGTGAGGAGGGGGCAGCAATGCCTTTGGGGGAAAGGGCAGGGGGATTGCAATTCCCATCGTCCCGTGATCTTGACCCCTACTCTCCTTTGGCAGCACCTGGAACACAACCTTGAGGCCCTGGACCTGACAAGCTTCGGTCTGATGGATACCACCCTGGAAGAGGTCTTCCTCAAGGTCTCCGAAGAGGACCAGTCCCTCGAGGACAGCGACACTGGTCAGTCTGGGAAGAGAGGGAGGGAGGAAGGAGAGGGAAAGAAGGGAGGAAGAAGGGAAAGGAGGGAGAGGCCTTTCCCACCCCCTAAGCCAGGGGTCTTCTAACTTTTGAAGTGGAGGGCCGGTTCACGGTTCCTCAGGCTGTTAGAGTGGGCAAACCAGCTGCGCCACAGCCCGTGGCCTTTCGCCTTCTCTTGACATCCTGAGAACTACCAGGAGATTCACTCTCACATCTCTCTATGCCACCGCCATCCCCCATTTCATTTATTTCCAGAAATACACATTTTCCATTGTTTTCCTGAGGCTGAGAGTGCAATTTACTCAAAGTTACACAGCGGATTTCCACACTGCCTGTATTTTCTCCATGGATCTTTGCGGGTTTCCCATCTTCCCCTCTTTCTCCCCATTGAGGTTTCCCTATAAATCTCTACTGTCTTGCATCGTTCCCTCTTGTTTTTCCCCTTACTTGCTTCAATAACGTAGTCTTGCTTTCCCCATTGACCTTGATAGGTTTCCCATCTGCCTCTAGTCTCTATAGTCTTCCATCTTTATATGGATCTTTATAGGTTTCCTATATTAATATATATTATTTATATAAATTTATTATTATATTATAATAAAATTATATTATTTATATTGTATATATATATTGTATTATATATTTATATTGTATTATTTAGCATATTATCTATATAAATAAAAATGTAATGTTCATTTGTGGAACATAAATCAAAAACCACTGGACGAATTGCCGCCAAATTTGGCCACAAGACACCTACTAACCCAAGGAGTGACCATCACTTAAAAAAAATTGATTTTGTCATTTGGGAGTTGTAGTTGCTGAGATTTATATTTTACCTACATTCAAAGAGCATTCTGAACTCCACCAATGATGGAGTTGAACCAAACGTGGCACACTGGACTCCCATGACCAGCAGAAAACACTAGAAGGGTTTGATGGGCATTGACTTTGAGTTTGGGAGCTGTAGTTCACCTACATCCAGAGAGCACTGTGGACTCAAACAATGATGGATCTGGACCAAACTTGACACAGGTACTTAATATGCCCAATATGAACACAGATGGAGTTTGGGAAAAATAGACCTTGACATTTGGGAGTTGTAGTTACTGGGATTTATAGTTTACTTACAATCAAAGAGCATTCTGAATTCCACCAATGATGGAATTGAACCAAACGTGGCACACGGGACTCCCATGATCAACAGAAAATACTGGAAGGGTCTGGTGGGCATAGACCTTGAGTGTGAGAGTTGTAGTTCACCAACATTCAGAGAGCACTGTGGACTCAAACAATGATGGATCTGGACCAAACTTGGCATGAATATTCCATATCCTCAAATATGAACACAAATGGAGTTTGGGGAAAATAGACCTTGACATTTGGGAGTTGTAGTTACTGGGATTTATATTCACCTACAATCAAAGAGTATACTGAACCCCACCAATGACAGAATTGGGGCAAACTTCCCACACAGAACCCCCATGACCAACAGAAAATACTTATTTATTTATTTATTTATTTATACGCTTGTATACCGCTAATATCTCAGCCTAAGTCGGCGACTCATTGCGGTTTACAACAATTAAAAACAGAATTCAATTTAAAACATAAAACCCATATACAATACAAATTATTGGGCCACCAATAATAGTCCTATGCAACTCATAACTAAAATCACAATCCGAAATTCGTCGTCCATGATTACCGGTCCTTTAGTCATCAAAATTCGGTTGCAACGGATTAACCGAATGCTTGTTTAAACAACCATGTTTTCAGTCTCTTCCGAAACACCATCAGCGAGGATGCTGATCGTACCTCTATAGGGAGGGTGTTCCAAAGCCGAGGGGCCACCACAGAAAAGGTATATATTCATTAACATGTTTTTATAGGCCAAGACACACACATTTGGTTTCTCCTACTTATCCTAAAAGTGTAAATAAAGTGATAAACAACCAATTTTGGACAGAAAAACAAGGAGCAGCATGTTTATCACTCTGTCCTGAGAATAAGGTAGGGATATGAAGGTTTAAATATGTTGCTCCTTGTATGAAGAAATTCATCACACTCTCCTGTTTTGCTGAAACCATTAAGAGATCTGTAAGCAGATTTTGCCGTCTCCGTGTTACGGACAAGATGGGTTCTGTAGGTTTGTTCTTAAGTTGAATTTGTATGTAAATTGGAACAGGAAGTCACAGGGAGGAGGGAGCAGGCTTGTTTTCTGCTTCCCTGGAGACTAGGACGCGGAACAATGGCTTCAAACTACAAGAAAGGAGATTCCATCTGAACATGAGGAAGAACTTCCTGACTGAGAGCCATTCAGCATTGGAACTCTCTGCCCCGGAGTGTGGTGGAGGCTCCTTCTTTGGAAGCTTTTAAACAGAGGCTGGATGGCCATCTGTCAGGGGTGCTTTGAATGCAATATTCCTGCTTCTTGGCAGGGGGTTGGACTGGATGGTCTATGAGGTCTCTTCCAACTCTATGATTCTATGATTCTAGGTACATTTTTAAGTGCAACTCCAGCAATTTTTATTTTTGGATAGCATAGGAAAGAGTTAAACACCCCTGTGACATTTCTTTTGCTGTCCATGCCCCTATTCAGAAGATCCCACTTCACTTTCTGTCCCTGTGATAATTGAATGTTGAAAATTTTGGCTTGTGGTGGAAACACGAATTGGTGATAAAGCTTCAGTGGAGACACCTTTTTCTTTTTCAACTCATGCAGGAGTGAATTTCCTTTCCTAGGGGTAGATTTTCTCTCACTTCCTGTTGTCTCACCCAAGTTTATAACTAGAAGTTGTATGTAAGTCGGGTGTTTGTAACTCAGGGACTGTATACATAATTGTATATACATAATTGCATATGCACCTGTATCTATATGGGAAAACATTTAGTTTGGTTGTTTGAGAAAATATCTGCTGCATGTTATCATCATCATCATCATCATATTTAATTACTTATTAATCGCTCTCCATCCAAGATGCTCCAGGCGATTTACATTGCAGAAATTATACAGGATA